ATTGTTTTCCTGAGAAAAGCAAAAACAGCGAATTCATCGGTAGTGATTCTTTTTATGCTCATTCATCCATTTGTTGAAACATTAAGTAGATTGACGATATTGTTAAGTGGCGGAGAAGACGCTCAATATGCGTCTAATTATCGAATCGAATCGGGCGTTTTCTTGAAGGGAAAGGGGAAGAGAAAAAATATCTTTATCGATAATGATATCGATATCATGAAGTGTGCGGTTTCAACTTTTAACTAATTATAGCGCTAGGAAACATTTATCAAAGTCCGCGAGGCAAGCAGCACAAAACTAATGATTTTAAAACATCATATTTTATTGTGTTAGATGCTGTCCGTACCAGGGAAAGCACTCCATAATTCATTAAAGATAGCTTTATAAGTTATAGATGACAGTGTATGCTGTTGGCGATATTTTAACGGAAATCAATCCCTTCGTCAGTTAGAAATTGAGAAAACGATTCCTGGAGATTTATGTACCGTATACTGCGGCCAAAAAATTTTTCAAACAAATTTCAGCTACCCGTAAATCACTTGCAGTTCCGCTTTTACGACAAAGCAAGTTGGTTATCCCCCTGCCAATTATCTGAACACAATTACGCCAATAAATAAGATCAGTGTTTATGTGGTCTGTATTGATATTAATGCTTAATTGTATTAGAGGAGTTCTATTTAGATTCAAGTCAATGTTAATGCTTTAGTCATTCCAAGCTTAAAATTACAAGTCACCGATATCACGAAATGTTGCTTTTATGAGAAACTTCCTTTATGATGTATGGTAAATCGTCTTAATAATGTTAAGATTTTGTTGTTACATCTTTTATTTATTTAATTCCATGAAAATGCGTACCAGAAGGTATGGAAAAGAATCAAGGTTGATTTCTTTAATATACTAATAATATTTAGTACCGAAATACCGAAATCTGGAATTTCGATATTTTATTTTTCGAAGATGCTTTATCAAATCGAATGCAAATTTATATTTTTGATGATGAAAGTTTTATGTTGTTACTAAAACTCTGTACCAGTCTCTAATAGTTAGACATACACTGGTGTGCAAAAATTAAGGACGAGACGGTTTTTTTCAATATAACTTTGTACAAAAGCTTTCCAAATCAACACATTTAATACCGTAAGATCCCCAATACGTAAGGACATGAGTAATGTAAGCAACACTTACTAAAAGAGAAAATCAGAGGGATAAAAAAATAAGCTTTATTGAAAACGTAGCATGGAGCGCGATGCGACTGAAGGCCGAAACATCCCTGTGATGGGTGCCCAGCAAGAAATATCCGGTCTTTAATAGGGAATATGATCTCCCCTGACTACTAGGCAGGTTTCACAGCGTCTGCACATGCTGAGAATGAGGGTGTCAATGAGTTGTGAGGCATTGCTGCCCATTCGTCTTGCAGCGCCAATCGAAGCTCCGGAATCGTTACTGGTGGTAAGGTACAAGCTGCCAACCGTCTGCCTAGAAAATCCCATACATGCTCGATGGGATTGAGATCCGGAGATCCTGCCGGCCAATCCATACGTTCAATATCCTCACTCTCTAAGAGCTGTTCGGCAGCTACTGTGCGATGACATGGTGCATTGTCGTCCATGAAAAGGAACTGCGGACCCATAGCGCCTCTAAAAAGACGCACATATGGAAGAAGAATCTCGTTACAATAACGGGTCCCGTTGACTGAACCTGCGTCGAAGATGTGAAGGTCTGTACGACTACCAAGCATGATGCCTCCCCAAACGAGAACACCGCCACCTCCATACCTGTCCCTTTCAAAGATGTTCGAGGGATGATTGCGGCTTCCCCGCTCTCTCCAGATGAGTATGCGATGAGAATCGCTACTCAGACTGAATCTGCTCTCATCTGTAAAGAGTACTCGTCCCCATTCATTGTCTCTCCAATTCCGATGTTCCCGGCACCACAGAGAACGCCTTCTCCGATGGGCAGGCGTTAGAGGTACACCCCGTACAGGGCGTCGTGCAAACAGACCCCCCACCGTGCAGTCTTCTGGCCACGGTAAAACGCGATATCGGTCGTCCAGTCGCCTGTGTCGTGTGTCTAGCGATTTCTCCCGCTGTCTGCCGCCCTGTTTCTTCTGGCCTGTAAGGCAATATATAGGTCATCTGCGGGTGTGGTTCCTCGTAGACGACCACTACTAAACCCCCGGATAGCTGCTCCTGTAGTTTGAAATTGTCCCCAAAGTCGTGAAACGATGCTGTGAGCAATTCCGAACTCTGCAGCCACACTTGTCACACTGCGGCCTTCCTCCAACTTCCCAATGATTCGACCTCGGGTAAAAGCATCCAGATGTCGTCTAATAGATTGATTATTCGCCATTTCTTGCTGAGGCAGCAACTCGGTGGGATTTTAACTGCTATACGGCGTGCAATCTCTTTGTCAGAAATACTGATCTTACACCGACAACATGCTTTATACTACTCAGACACTCCCCCATTACGTCTACCTGCATATCTGCGCATGTGCTACCGTACATCACCTTACTTGATCTCCTGATTGGGCTTTCTGTCCGCTCTGCCTCTTCGTTCAGCTGATATGCTAATTTTTCGACTTCGTCCTTAATTTTTGCACACCAGTGTATTCCAGTACCTTTGGAATATACCAGGGCTTCTTGAATTTTTTTCAGTCGCGATCCCTTTTTATCACTGATATTTTTTCGCGACCCCAAGACCCCATAATATTTACGAAAATTTTGTAGGATCCCATAAGCATTGCGCAAATGCGACACACGCATGAGTGAAACTGTCAATTTTTTCACTTGTACTGTTATCTACTATTGCAGTGTTAGGTCATTAATTTCTAATTTTAAGACATAGGACAATGTGAAAATTTTAAATAATTAACAGACGAAATGACAGCGTCACTTGCAAAGCAAGTGAAATGAACGTTTATATTATAAAAAGGATGCGTCGAAACTTTTTCGTTTTTTTCTTTGTCAGTATTGTCTTATATTTATCTATTTTCAGATATATTGTGTAAAAATATTTGATAATTGTAAAATTATTATAATAACTTAAAGAAATATCAAAATTTCTAAACTTTTTGGCGACTTCCTGCCGCAGATCCCACGACCGCCATGGGGGGTCGCGACCCACAGCTTAAGAAACTCTGGACTATACAATAACTTTCCGCCTAACCGTGCATAGATCTGCCAGAGTGATAGACTAACGTCTTTGAATTAAAGGATTCTGTATGTTTGTGTTTGTGATAGGTAAAGAACTCGAGGCATGGCAATAAACAATATCATAATATGAATTGCCTGCAGCATTCATTATTTTAATTATCTTAAATTACTTTATACAATTTGTCAATTTTTGTACTTTTCAAGATGTACCAGAGTTTCATTAATTAATAGCTCATAAAAATATTTCTTTGATAACCAAAAATAATCCAATTCCCCGCAATTTTTGTTATTAATTTCTGTAACTTAAGTTGACATATCACACTATATAAATAGTGTTAACTAACAAGAGAATAGGATTTTCCAATTCTGTACTTCCCCTTTGCAGTATGTTTCTAAATTTCTTTAACAAAAATATTACGATAAATTTCTTTCTATCAAATTTTAACGTGAAGGCATAACTTTTAATTGAACTGTATAACCTCTATTGAATTTTAGTATGAAGGAATAATAACCTTTAATGCCGCTGTTATGCGACATTAAAGGTTATTACAATCCTCAGAGTAGACCACTGTTTTAAATTTTCTGTTAATCACTTATTAAATAAAAAAATGCACAAGAAAATTTCTAAATCAGAATTTTTCCATTCAATAATTTACAAATTAAAAATTATATTTAATTATGATAAATCTTATCAATTAATAAAAGGAATGTAAAATTAAATCTGTAAATTGTAAAATTCAGGAAAATAATTAATACGCTTTGTTGATATGGTTCTTGCTTATGAACTTATTTACAAAATCTTCAGCAGCATGGTTTGAATATGCTTCCGAATAAATCTTTCAGATTTCATTTATAAGCAGCGAAAACTAGAATTCATATTTATCCTATAGAGCTAATAAAACATGCATTAAAATGCACTGTTTGTAAGAAATTCAAATTTCCAATACTCAGTTGATAATACAAATTGTGCCTAATTCCGTCATCATTTCAGCAATTGAAACTACTTTCAAAGAATTAAACATGCAATAAAATTATAATGTCATATGACAAAGTAAGATTTAAAGGGCATCAGCTAATAAATAACAGCATAAAATGACAAATATGAGTTTTATTAGTGTTTCTTTAAACGTTTAAAATAGATGAGTTTATTTTTGGGGTGTATTTTAATATCTGACAATAGTTTGAATATTAACTTAGAAGGACTTAAGATTTTTTTCTCATTGTATTTAAAAAAATTAGCACTATAACGTAATATTATAGCACTTTCTAAGCTTAAAACAGCACAATTTGTACTGCATGCGTATCTTAACAATACACATACCCATAAAAATATTTTAAGCACAAATTTTTAATTAAATCACTTAAAACGAAATATTTGAAAAGAAACCCTGATATAATTTTTGTATTTCTTGCGTCATTATCAGTTTCACTTCAATGAACTTCCTTTTATTAAGACGTTACTTTCAAAAACCTAGGGTTCAGACATAATAATATGATGTTGTTTTTAACAAATAAATAACTATTAAATTTTCCTTCAAGTTTAACAACATGCAAGTTATAAAATGCAGCACATCAATGCGCTTATATACAATAATAAAAATTCTTTTTGCAAATATCAGTGTGAAAAAAAAAATGGCAAAAAAATAATTCCATTTTTAAACGTAGCAGAATTTCAATCAGACAGTAAATATCTTTAATTTATTTCAGCGAAAAGTAAATAAAAACTTTTCTTTATGTAAATTTTTATGCAATAAAAATACATAAAATAACATTTTAATGTACGCATGTGCCCATGTATGTAAACATACATTAATGCAATATTATTCGCTTGTCATATGCTAGTAATAAGAATCAAGATAAAACTTTAATTATGACATTCCTTGCAAAACAAATTATAACGTTTTACTAATTTTTGGTTATGATAATCTTTAATATTTTACTATGAAATATATAAACACTGTCCTTTAGTTGCCCAATAATTAATACTGTCCTTTTAAAAAAACATTCTTTTCCGATATATTCTCATTCAAAAACCATCAAATGCGAGGAATTTTCTGCTTTGGTATCCCAAACATGGCTCCTAAATAAAAATAAGAAACATCATAATTTTAATTGCATTTATAAACCAAGTAGCATTAGAAATATGTTTATGAAATAGCATTAGCAAAACTTTTTTTAAAAATTTTTATGATGAGGCATTTATTCATAAACTGCATATATTATACATCAAACGAAACGTACATAATACATAATGCTAGAAACTAGGTCTTAGTTAGCGTTAAAGCAACAAATGCCCATACCAGTTAAATACATCATTAAGTGAATTATTTCAAATAATATCAATTACATATACCACTAAAAGGTAAAAAATTGTAAACAATGGCATAAAAATGCACATAATTAGTTGGCAAGAAATGATTTATACTGTTTATTATTATAAACTATTTCTAAATAATTTCGTATAATCTAGCAACGGCAACAATAATTAAATTTAACGAAAACAGTTCGCAGTAGACTAAAGATTTTGATTAGAAAGCTTTTCAAACTTATCAGTTTTCATAATGTACAAGTATATCACTAGTCATTTTAAATACTACAAATCATCTCCTTGAGAATGAGTGTTGGGACGTCCATGAAATCTCTAAAAAGCATGAAAAACTGAAATGTACTGAAAACGAATTTATTTCACACACAAAGCTCCTGTGCAAAATTAATAAGTTTCAACATGTATATCAGTATCAGCACGACAAAAGTTATATCATTATTCTGTTTTTGCCCGCATTCTGGCAAGAACATGTAATATAAAGCTTTCAGTTACTTGTGTGATTTCTTCTTGAGTTGGACACGATTATCAATTTTTTCGTTGTAATAATCATTTTCAGCAAAGAGTTATGGGATTAAGAGCCTTATGGGTAAGGCCAGGGATTGTTGACCAGAGGAACAAGTCCATATGAAATCTATCATCTTGGAAATCAACGGAAATCCTGCACATGGAATCTATCAGCTTAAAAATCCTGCACATGATCCACAAAGTGAGGCTGTCCTCGATCTTGGTAGATTGAAGGAGCATATTAAAATGAATATCTTCCACTTCCATTTGCTAGACCTGAGGAAGCAAAAAAATATCTCTTCTATGTCCAAGTACACATTGAAACTAATAACTATTTAATACTAGCAAAGAAAAAGGGCCACAAATCTTGTTACTCGTTAGGTCACATAATATACTGACCTTAGCATGATCTCGACTGTGTTATGTTTCACTCAAGTGTGTTCAGAGGCCAAAATTTGTTCAGAGGCCAAAATGTAAAGATTTATACATTTATTTATATGGACTATGGTCTCATAATATGCACGCATAATTGTCTTAAAAGACAAAATTAAATAGAAGCTCTTTCAGTCCACATAATATACATTTTATAGAATTCTTATGAAATCTCATTATTCATTCGCAAAGCTGCCGCATATTTTATACAAAAAAATTATATTAAATATATATATACACTACTGGCCTTTAAAATTGCAACACCAGGAAGGAATGATTTGACAAACATCAAAATTACTTGAAAGGAAGAAGAGGTTGGGATATGCAAATGATTAATATTTCAGCGCACTTAGACGACGCAGGAGGGAGAAACGACATCTTCAGCACTGCATAAAGGAAAAGTTGTATAGTGGATTTCTCATTCGGAAAGCGCTTTGTAAGATCTGCGTTTACTCAGAATATCGTGTTATGCCATGAATAAGAAGAGGAAATGCTTACCAACAAGTTTCGAAATTCGATAGAGGCAGGATCGTTGCCTATTGAAAGTGTAGATTACCGTTCCGTGATATCGCTGGCCGCACTGGTCGACATTCAACCACTGTCATGGGAATATAGAATCAATTTAATGCTGAGAGTCATACTGAACGGCATGCAGGATCTCAATCTCCTTCCATGACTAACTGCAGAGAGGACAGACATAATGTGAGGTCATTTCTGCAAATCCTATAACCACATCACGGACCATTAGAGAGAAAAGGGGAATGTTTGCATCACGGTATGGTACGCCGACGTTTGCAACAGCATGGACTGTTAGCACCACGACCATTAATTGGATTCCCTTTACAATCCAGCATAGAGAGAGAGACCGAAATTCTGGTGCGCCGAATGACAAAGCTGGATACAGGAGTAGCACAATGTAGTCATTTCAGACGAGTCCCTGTTCTGCGTGCAGTATTCTGATGTCCATATACGTGTCTGTAGGAGTCCGCACGTTGCCTGCACATTCAGTATCGGCATAGGAGAACTACACCTGGTGTGATGGTTTGGGCAGCCATAGGGTACACGGATACCCCACGGGGAGCCATGGGGTTCTAGTTCGGATCTACCGTAATTTGAACGCAGATCGGTAGGTTTCTAACATCTTACGTCCAGTGGCTGTGCCCTATCTTTGAGGCCTGCCAAACACCATCTTTCAACAAGATAATGCAAGACCACAAATAGCACGTCGTGTTCTAACCTTCCTCGATACACAAGATATTCGACTGCTGCCCTGGCCTGCGTAGTCTCCGGATCTCTCTCCCATTAAAAACATCTGGTCATGGGTTGCTGAGACATTTGTTCGCCACGCAGCATGGAATGAGTTGTCTATTTTTGTCATCCAAGTCCAGTTCGACTCCCTGCCTAACCGGGTAAGGGCCACTTTAGCTGCTAGGGCTGGCAGCTGTTTCTGCTAATTTCGCACCGCTGTAAAACCTCAAACTGCTTACAAATTTAATCATTTTGTCTTCATGCCGCACTGTCTACGTACAATAAATATCTTTTTTGCATTTGCTTTCCTTCATGGCGTTGCAATTTTAATGGCCAGCAGTGTATATATATAAAATAAAATAATAAAAAACTATTGAGACCTGTACAAACTAATATAAATAATTGAAATATGTACAATTATTTAATTATTTTTACAATACTGTGAGAGTGTCAGGGAATGTTTTTTCTAAAGTGAGGATATCACTTAATTCAGTTCTTAACAAGTACCTTAAATTAAGTCGAAAATCGTACTGATTTTTATTTTTGGTTTAGTTTATGGCAAGTATTTTTTCTCAAGCAAACTAATGATCTTTTACATTTCGAGTTTTGCTCGTAGCTTATAATTTAACTCTAGCAAAATAACGAATTTGATCCTTATTTGGAAAAAGACGAAACACTCTCACTTAATTTGGTTATTGTTAATTGATAGTGAATTAATTTGTTCCCCTTGACTAGTAAATTAATCTACGGTTACTAGCAATGGCTACCTTTTTAATACTTTAAATTTTACTTTTTAATTTCACTATTTAGAATTTTTCCGGTTTAAAATACTATTTCTGTAAAACTTATTAAAATATTTTTACTACAATAGAAATCTAAAATAACTTATATTTAAAATACTGACTCAAATTTATTCGAATAATTCATCGTGTTAATTAAATTCCTGTTTCTTGGAGATGATATATAAAACCCTTTTCTAATAATAAATTATATATATGTGTGTATATTACTTTAATCACTTTATCTGAAAATACATTTAATTGTTAACAATTAGCTTTAAAAGACCTGAAACTATTTTTTAAAATCATTCATTCCCACTGTGTAATAGTATTTAATGTTCTATATTTGCCCATGCTTTTCATTGGGTATAAGCAGTAATGAAAAATTCATAGAAATGTTGGTTCAGGAATTTGGATTAAAAATTAGGGACAAAGGAGCTGAAAAATGATGAAACTGAAAATAAATTCAGTTCTTAATTATTCATAACACTTTTTTATCGTCAGTGCTCTATTTGAAGAAAATTTCATAATACAAATTTGCCGTAATTTTAAATATGCATTTTTACTGACAATGAATGACTGAATGTTTTAGGAATGCTTGAGGAAAAATCTCGCAAATTTAAACTAATAAATTCATTTAAAGTTCTGCATTGGTAAAATGTCAAATGCAGGCAAGATTTAAATATTCTGCACCATAATGCAATTAAAATACTTAATTGAGAACATATTGTGAAGAAGTTGCTCAAAAAATAATTTCGATTCATAAGTCTCAACGTTAATAGAGGTTATACAGCATTAGCAGCGATGTAACTTATGTGGCCTTAAAGGGCAACAAAATTCAGGAAAGACAGAAGTTGCACCGAGTGGCAGAAAGCTTAATATCAGCCCTGAGGATAATCCCACGTTTAGCTCTAGGTAGATTAACCCGTGCGTTAGAAATAGAAATTAGTAATCTAAATACACAAAATCAAAGTAACTAAAGATTAGTAATCTAAATACACAAAATCAAATTTCTTGTCAAATTAAGTTAAAGTTTGCAGTACTTTTTGCAGAAATTTAACTTTCGGGTCGTTTATTCTCCCATCAATAAAATTCCGAGTTCCATACTCAAGGACTCCATTCCGGATATGAATTCCTGGGGTATTTACAGGATTCCTTGCCAGTGTGGCTTAATTTACATTGGCCAAACTAAGATAGCCTTAAAATTTCGCGTTAATGAACATGAAGCATATGTTGGAAAAAAGGAAACAAAGAAGTCTTCTGTTGCCCAACATTGTTTGTCCAAAAACCGCACTTTCAATTTTTCTGCTGCCAAAATTATTCAAAAAATATCTTCCATTTGTGAACTGGATTTTCTAGAGGCATTTCACATTCAAAAGAATCTTTCTGTTCTAGTTAACGACCCTAATATCAATCCATCTTTGCCTTCAGCCTTTAAAGAAAGTTCTGGTTTCATCAACAGATGGCGCCAGTGGCTTCTCCCCTCTCCAGGCTTTCTTATCTTATCTCCTTCATTTGCGCTTTTGCAGCTGAGGATGATGGTTCGGTAAAACCATTGAAACTAGTCCTGTGAAAATTTGAAAATATAACGCTGATTTTTGTTGTTTGACTTTTAAATTAATAATTAAAGTAGTTCATCTATTTAGCCCTATGAGGCTAAACTGGAAAATTTAAACTGCTTAAATTTATTTAAAAAGCAATCATTTTTAAGAATGCCACAATAAAATTATATCTAATTAAGGATAAATTCATATTTATAAAATCATAATTTGAGGATGCTTCAGGTAATTAATTCTGCTATAACATGGTAAGAATATGCTGATTTGAAGAAATGTATATTACAACTTATAGCTTATTAAACATGTTTCGCATTTTTTAAAATTTTCCCAAGTACTTTGCATTTGTTAAAATTATTATGCAGGCGGAAATATTTCTGTAGGCACATCTGATTGTGATGCAAAATTGCGTGTATCCCACAGCAGATTTACTGAATATTAATATAGTAATTTATTTTTTAAAATATTCACATTGTCGGAAGTTGCATGAGAGAAAAAAAACTACACTTTGTTAGCTTATATAACTGAGATCGATAGTTACCTATTTACAAATTAAGGATTAAAAAAAAAAGCTTCCTTGGTCAAATCACATAACTGCACTTTGATAGAATAACAAAATCTACTTCAAACAGAACAGCTCAGTCTTTCATTTAAATAATTTGATCATGCAACAATACAATGAATTATGTAAATGCTGTTTTATACATAGCATAAGCAAAGAGCCTTAATCGTAAATTTAGTCTCGTTTAGTAAGTTTACCGTGAACGATGCTTTGATCAAAATCTATCAACAAAATAAGACATGATTATAAAACATATAAAGATAACAAATGAGAATACATAAAATGAAACATATTAAAGACTAGTTTTCAATATTAGAACGAAGTGGGAAAAAATTGAAAATTTATTTTGTTTATATATGAAAAAGCTGCATTTTATTTAACATGGTTAGCGTGCAAAATGTTTTCCAAATTAAATTTGAATTTTGGTTACCGAAATCTCCCTAAAACTTTTTCCAATACATCAATTGCTCCAGAGTTGTCATATTAATAGTGCATATCTCAAATTCGTAAAATATAAAATTTTGAAATTTTAAATGAAGTTATAGTTAAGTTATAATGACGTTTATATAGTTATAAATTTTAAAGGAAGTTAGTTATGGAGGTATCTGGGTCCAAAAGCCTGACGGACGGCACTAGTCATATTGTGCTTTTCCACCAGACCCTGGAGCTCGATCGCGTAGGTTTACTTCAAGCAAACTGGTCGCCAGAGAGCTTGTTCTCATTTTTCATTTGTTATTCAACGCAGAGTTACAATTATTTTGCATGGACTAGTTAATATACAATTTTCGCCTTTACTATAACTTATCCTCTCCGTTTTCTCATCAGAAATCTAAATGAGTCAGAGAGTATTAAATCTGAGGTTTTTGAATTGTATAGCATACAGAGACTATTTCTGTTTCTCGAGCTCACAAAAATATAATCCTGCTATCTCGGTTAAGTTTGTATTTATTCGGCTTTACGTTATTCGCTGCCAACATGTAAATTGTTACTGTGGTTAGAGTTTTGAGCCTACTTCGATTTAAATTTAAATGTACTACTAGCCTACTAATGTAAACTACTAGCCTACGTTTTTATATTCGACTGTTATTTTAGTTATATCGCCACCAGTGGTGGTTGATCCTGTGAGCACAAGAAGTGCATTTATTTTCCAAGATTTGCTAAATAAAAAGATTGTTTTAAACTTTTTAAATTCTCTGTAGCAGACACAGCGATAATTCTATAATAATAATTAATAATAATAATAATATTTGGATCTAGTCAAAACCAAGTCAAGCTCTAAAGCGTTACATATGCTGCTTTTAATTATGCTTTTTAAATCAAAAGACAATTTTCATCAATTTTAGTTTGTAATTTATTTCGTAAATGCTTCCGTCACGGTTAAATTCTTAATGTCATGTATTTGAGTCACCAAAATCTTTTCAGGAATACTATATGCTACAGACCTATGCAGACGTTACAAAGTATTATTTCTTTAACTGGCAAGAATTCTTAACAAAGTCTGAATAGGAGCTTAGTTTGATTGTTGTATGCTCATTATTAAAACGAAAGCTCCAAGCTTCATTAGAAAAGAATTCTAATTTCTCCTGTTTCAGATGATTAGGTATCACATAAAGTGACAGAATTTCATAAAATATATCGCGTTGCAAAGAAAAGACTATAAAAATATTGTAAATTTAATAATTCAAACAATAAGAATTTTAAAAAATTGCAACCTTAAACAGCAGGCTGTGGTAAAAACTTTTCAATATTTTGTTGTGTAAATGCAAAGACTTTTCACCTTGGACTTGGAAGATAACATTTGCCGCAGATGCAAGAAATGTTTCAACCAACTAACGAACATTAAGACAAATGATCGTTGGAGCAATCACGAACTACAAAAGTGCTTCAGAAGAGGTTGCAGAGTAAGGCCATGGCGGATGAAAGAATTCAGACGGTTCAGTTGTAAGAAAGTAAAACTAACATGAATAGGTTCTCGCATTTCCTCTATTTCTTCTGAACGAGCTACCCTTCCTCTTTGTCCTCAGGTATTTCAGATGAAGGTGATGTTTATTCCTGAAAAAAAAAAAGAAAAGAAAAAGCATGCAACAATAACAAATCCTTTTACTTCTCAAATGAAAATGAAGCTCAATGTTGAACTCAGGCATGTGACAGAACTGGAGCTTCAGAGAGATCAGCGGTCAGTGTTGCTTTAAAGGATATGTAAATTTTGACCAAAACGGATACATCAAATGTTATCGACCAGAGCAAGATCAGGAGGTAAAACACAAAATCTTGAAGTGATTGTGTCACGAATATTGAAGAACAACCCTTATTATCTGTGTATTGTGCTTAAGTTAATGCTAAAAAAGACAAGATTCGGAATTCAATATGCAGCCGCTTTCTCTTGGGGAGATGCCCCGTTTTTATTTAAGTGTTGTACCTAGCTAAGAGCTGCATTGGATTTATATTAAGAATTACTTCCACGTATAAACTAACAAATTAGCAAAAACACTTTTGGACCTTTTCCAATTCACCCTGTTGTATATTCAACCACTGGTAGATCTAATGTAAAAGATGACTCGTTTAGAATAAATATTAATTTCAATCGTAATTAATTAGTCTCTTGAATTTTCTGAACGCAATGATATTAGACTTAGTCTTGAAATGAACTGTGACCGATCCACAGAAGCAAATTTAGTAATAAAATTTAAATGGTAACATTTGATCTTGCTCCTTGAATCCTTATATAAAAAATAAAATTTGTTTATTGTCAAAATGTGCAGAGAAAGGCACCAAGATTACACCGGAGATTACACAGTATGAAGGATAACGGGGAAAATAAAGAATGAAAATTTATTTATTAATCAAATGCAGGATAAAGTTCGCTTTCCTTTTTAGGATGGTAATAGAAGTAAGCATTTTAATTCAGAATATAACTTTGAACTTGTCAGTAATAGTAAAACATTGATGATTAATTCAAGTTATTTAAAAACTCAATATGCGGTACAGAACTTCTCATTCGCTCTTGCACGTACGATAAATCGGAAAAAAAGTTGACCACTTTTACTTGGCATTCATTGCATTTTGAAGCCATATGGAAAGCATAGGCAGCATGTTTCAGTTCTTAGTTGGTTTTACTTTACAGCGATTAATGCTAGAAATATTATTTAATATAAACTAACCTGATGAACATTTTATTTATCAAATTCTCAAATCGAGTAGGATATATTTTTGAAACTACTGAATCACACTGCGTTATGCAATTTAAATCTGTTCTCTGTTTCCTTATGCATCTCTTGTTGTAACAGATTAAGAAAGAGATCCTTCAAAAATATTCTCCACTAAAATTTTACGTTATAACTCCAGTGTAAATTTCCTGGTTTGAATTAGATAGACATTTGTTTATGCGAGTATCCTCTTCTTCAAAAATATGAATGCAATCAGTGAATACATAATTTGCAGTTTATGTATAGAAAAACTCGGCTGTGCGTTACATAATAAGTGGACCTTTAAAAATTTCTTATGCAATATAGCTCTTTCTACAGAGCCCATTTTAAGCAAGCACTGAAAGTATTTTTAACCACAGAAAGATAGACTGCTTTCCCGTTCTTTTAAATAAGCATCTGACCTAGTATATAAACATGTAATTATGTCGTAGTGTATGTTTTGACAATTATGTATTTCTTCGCTTATGTTCCATTTAGGCAAATAATCTTACATTACCCAGATGAATCTGCTGTCTCTTTTGCTCAGCATTTAAAAGCAAACCATAAATTTTCTCTCACTTCAAAAGTTGAAAGCCGCCGAATTATTTCTTTTTGTAATTAAAGGAAGCGCTTATCGGTAAAGAAACCCTGCCAAAAAAAGATTACGTACATAAACGCCCGTGAAATGTACGGGTGCCACAAACTTAGCTAGAAAGAGTGAAGTCGCGTTTTGATTCCGTGAATTGCATGACGAAGAAAGACTAAAATAAACGTTTATATACAAATGTAATAAAACGAGAGATATGAGGCCAGTCGAGATGAACACGTTAGACAGATGTATAACAAAAAGTTTGATCCGGAAGCGAAGAAAGATTAAATAAAATGAAGGCAGATTTCTATCTTCCAACAGATTCTCTAAGCACTGAAATTTTGTTATGCTATAATGATATAAATACTACATTAATTTTGAATTTTAAGAATTTTCACACGGATTTTAATCAAGGCTTTCATTATTATCTTTTGTACGTAAACTTTCTCATTATTGTTCGTTCACAATTTTTGGCGAATATTTAACTAATGAATATTTGAACTTCAGAATTTTAATCACAAGTATGACAATGATAGACCCATTAGTCTAATTACTTCCAAATCAACTGCTGCTCTAGGCTGTCGTAGGGAGGCTATACAGTCCTAGTTGTGTAGAATTTAAATCAAAGTCCTTCTGATCATATTAGACTGAGGAGCGAGTTATCACTTCGTGTGAAATAATATGACAAAGTCCTAAGAATGTTATAAATAGCATTTTTATTAAATCATTAAATAAACAGAAAGAACAGATTGAACTTGAGCGTACAAATAAATTTCGCACTTGTGGGTGTTTAACATAACAATGTGTAAGGATTATGTTAATTTTATTAATAGTTAAAGTTCCTCCTGTCGATTCTTAACTTCAACTTACTACTTCCGGCCAGAACGTAATTTTAGAATCACGTCTGCATACATAATGAGGAAGAGCGGTATTTAACCGCGAAGTTCTACTGGCTGGGCGAGAGAGTTACCAGGTGTTCTGTCTGCACGCGTCCGCCTTTTTAGGCTACTCTCTCGTAAGCTGTTAGTACGCTCGGCCATACTTTAGGCCCTTGATAACTTCGCAGTCAATTAGCGTTAAGGGGCCAACTCAGTTAGAATATTGATAGCTTCGGCTATATCTCTTTTTAGTTTAGATTATTTTTAGTTTACTTCTTAGCCTTTTAAGTTCAAGCCCAAGTGTTGGCTTTTATTATACACTCCAAGACGGAGTTCTGTTAAATCTTATTTGAATAATAAAGGGTTATTTACCCTTCCATCTTGTTGCTTGTCACACGAACTCAAGCGATTATTCGCTTATCAGTTCTTAAGATTCTTCACGTTCACCTGTAACTTAGTATCTACAAAGTGAGAAACTCTACAATTGTTTCAAATGAAAGATAATGTAGTACACAAAGTGGCCAATTTAAGCAGGCCTAATATTTTCTTAAATGTCAGCTCGTAGAATGGCTAAAGCCTGGATTATACTCTGGCAAAGTTGGGCAATAGAACGTGAACTGCAGAGGATGCTGCTGAAAGCTCTATTTCTAAAATATTCAGAGCCCTTGACTAAAATGCTCTACCATATAATTTGCATCTTAGTGAGGACTACAGAAAGGATCCCAGTGAGGACTACAGAAAGCATAAAAATGGCTACTTAACATAAAATACCTCAGAAGGCACAAGAACAAAGATCTGAATTTTTTGTACGAAAAGTGCTCTGTTAGGTTATTTAGAATCGTCATGAGCCGATTTTGATAAATTAAAATTTCACTGAAAATGCAAAACGGCAAAAACGATTGGAAAATGCACTTAAAATGAAAAAAAAAATGCTCTTAAATGTAAAAAGATCGAAATAACAATATAAAAAATGACACAATTGAGAGTCATTGACAAATGGATTAAAACCCAAGCAATTATACATACCTGCCACTTGAATTTTATTTTTTCTCCCGAATCTTGAGCCTTACGCAAATGTATTACACTGAATTAATAATTGCTCTAAAAGATATGTTGTGAGTAGTTAAGTTTTTATATCGTGAAAAACCTTTCTTGATATCTGTTGCAGTTATTAGAGCATTAAAAAAAAAAAAAAAGAAAAGAAAAGAAAAAAAATTCCCTGTCGTTGAATCTTCTTCAGTTTCAAAACACTCTGCTTCTCTTGTCAAGGATATTTTCCCCATAGTTTGGAAGACACAGTTTATAGTTTAAACAGTTTTGAATTTATCAAATGATATACTGCTCTCGTAAGGATTTAAGAGTTGAAATTACTAATTACTGAGGTAGAAAAACATATGTAATATTACTGTGAGTGCGTAATTCCAAGATTGTGTCTGTGGAATAGCCTTTCTCCTCTTTACATGCAATCCTAAAGAACTGAACACGCACAAGTCACAAGTCCTAAGTCTTAAAGAGCTAATAAATGTTGGTACGGAAAAAAGTTCTTAGAAGTGACATTTATACATTGTTCAGAAGCCTATCTGATAGATACGTTTAACAGATTGCATACAGGACATGCTTGCCTAGTAAAAATGAGTTCATAGGAGTTAAAAGTGTTATTTCAAAGGTAACTGTATTCTTCTGTTTGATTATTAAAATATCCCTTAGCTCTAAAATGCCCCAAACATGCCTTAAAAAGCCTCCAAAATACTCTAAAAACTAGAAAAATGCTTTAAAAAGGAAAAAGGCTTAAAAAAGGAATGAAATGAAGAAACAAATGCGTATGTCATCAAATCTGGACGTTGATTATCACATAACCTCGAAGGCTATTCAACCTTAAAATAGAAGGACATTATTGCGTATTCACATTATGTTTGTGGAAAATCACAGCATCCTTATGAACCAAGCCATTCGGTCGGCAGAAATTGAATCCTCAACAAACTAACACTTCTCACTGAACTTGGTCACGTGGCCATAGTTCATACTATATGAACTATGGACATGAAAAATGGTTTCCTTAAATTTGGGAAAAAACGTTCCTTGTTGAAATATCATTTTGGCTGGGAACCGTATAATTTAAGATTTGCGTTTTTCTAGATACTTTTATATTGGAATAGCAGAATGTGACAAGATTAGATAAAGAAAGATCAGTAAAGTGATCAAGGCTGGAACCTTCAAAGTAATTTTGCAGATAAACTTAAAAATCTAGTGGACTTAAATGTATAACACAAGTATGTAACTCTCTTAACACAAGAACGGCCACACTAAGGTTTATACAAAAACCGACTTTTTTGAAAACCGGTTTTCGAATTCAATATTTCCAAAAAACCGGTTTTTGAATTTTTGTCAAAAAATTAGAAC